AGGGGCGGGGCCCAATAGGGGAAATAGAGGATTTTTTTTCTCCTGCTATACAAGTGAAGGGATTTTAACCAAATGCAGTCTGAAGCATGATTAGGGACAAAAGAATCAATTTTGTATAAACTGAGGTGTGTGGGCCTCCTTCTAAGGGCAGATGGGTGGGGCCCATTAGGGGAAATAGAGGAAAACATCAAATATCCTTCTCCTTTTGTACCGATGAAGGGATTTTGACCAAATTTGGTCTGGAGCATCATTGGCCAAAGGGTTCTCAGTTTTGTATGAACGGAGGGTATGGTCCCCCTGGGGGCAGAGGGACGGGGCCAAATAGGGGAAAATAGGTAAATCTTTAAAAATCTTCTCCTCAACCAATTGAAGGATTTTGACCAAATTTGTCCTAGAGCATCTTTGGACAAAGGAGACTCAAGTTTGTATAAACGGAGGGTGTGGGCCTTCTGGCGGCATAGGAGCGGGGCCCAATAGGGGAAATAGAGGATTTTTTTTCTCCTACTATACAAGTGAAGGGATTTAAACCAAATGCAGTCTGAAGCATGCTTAGGGAGAAAAGAATCAATTTTGTTTAAACTGAGGTGTGTGGATTCCCCTTCTTTGGGGCAGATTAGTGGGGCCCATTAGGGGAAATAGAGGAAAACATTAAAGATCCTTCTCCTTCTGTACCGTTGAAGGGATTTTAACCTAACCAAACTTGTTTTAGAGAATCTTTGGGCAAAGGGAATTGAATATTTATAAATGGAAGATGCAACTTTGTTACTTGTACTCCTTTGATAAACCTGAATGGTACTCAGCAGGTTTTAAATTGAAAAATAAAATACCAGGTGAGCTATTAAGGCCCCTGGGCCTCTTGTTTGAATAACATTTATTATTATGTATTCTATTGTTATCCATACTACTTACTTGTAAATCATCAAATATTGCATTCAAGCCAAAGTCGTTGTACGCATGGATATTCAGAGAAAGTGTTTTTCTAATGCCCACACAACTCTAACAACCCAGGTGGAGTATAAATTGGTCTGGGGTGGATATTGCGGTATCTGTGCTGTAGCATTCAAGTGAGGTGGCACTATAAATGATGCCGTTGGAAGCATGGTCCCACTACAAACAGAACGCATTACATCTCCAGCACACACGCAGGCATACACACATAGGGAGATATTAGCCAGGTGGAATAGGACTCGTAGTTAGCGCCTGATAAGGCAGCTCCTGCGAATTCCACAAAATTGTATTGATTAATGTATATGCTAATTGTATTAATTGTATATCTATGTACTGTTAAACGCTTTAGAATGCCTTATGTTAGCTAGATAGGGCGCTATATCAAATGCTGTATATTATTATTATTCAAACATTTGAAACCCTGAATAGACACTTTATCTAAAGTTAATACTGCATGTATTAGCTGCGTCCTATGATACTTTATTTACATTATATATTTTAAAATTTCTTTTGCCGTTTTCAGGTCAGAGCTTCATGACTCAAAGGTGACTGTTCAGTTTGGTTTGATTCTAGAAGTGTACCTCCGGTTTAGCCGAGACCATATTCCAAACATTTGCAAACAACAGGAGTCATTGTCTAAGCTCGTCTGTCTTAACACAATAGCAAAACAGAAATCTTCCGTAAGTATGACATAATAAAATGATGAATATTAATAATTTTAAATGAAAAATTTGGAAATGTTACCCAACTAAATATTGATCGTGTTTATTTGTATAGTTAAAGAATCTTAAGATATTAGATACCATGTTTAGTGATAAATGTGTTGTGTTATAATGTAGAAGAACAACGTAAAGGCAGCCGACCGAATACGACCTCTATTGGCACAAAAGACTTACACGGAACCACTGACCAATCTGTACACACCGCTTACCCCTCTCTTCAAGGTTGGCGTCCTCAGGTAAGTCAGAAACAACTCTAAATACATACCTGCACAAGCCCCTTACTCAGAATTGTTAACTTTTAGAAATTTCCATGGGGGAGATTCTCGAAATTAAAACATTAATAAAATGTGTGTATACACCCCCTACAGGCAAAATAACCCTTCAAATGACATAATTTGAGTTATTATTTCAGATGAAATCATTAGATTTTAGAAAATAGGAACAGTTTAGCAAATTCACTGGTTGAAAATACTAAATTTAAGGGTCCAAAATCGGGAGTATGCCTCCTTAATAGGGAGGGTTGGCAAGTATGCTTACCCTTCTCTTAATGCTATATTTGGCTGTCAGGTTTGATAAGAAGACTTATGGTGTTAGATTGGAAAATGTCACATGTATTGATCAAATCAAATTTATATATTTGTTCCCCTGTACCACAGAAACTCCACTTAATACACACAGTTCTCCTCCCTTCCCAAGTTATTGTCCTCTGATCTAATGTTGGAGGGGACAGACATATGCCACTGGAACCTCCATACCGAACACTGATTACTGAAAAGAAACGGAATCAGCTCATATAGCAGTAGCTACACAGATTCATTAAAGATACATGAATGATTAACAAAGCCGTGGAAAATTAATATGCTACAGCATCATAGATGGCATATATTTCATTCCCCATTTACTGATTTGATGTACCTGTGAGCATTCGGGCTGTTATTAGGGCCCCGTATCGGAAATATGGGTGCCCTGTAGTAATCTGTCTATCTGTCTGTCCGTCCACAAATTTTGTTCCTGGCTAATAACTTTGGTATTAATTGACTGATTTACATGAAACTTGGTCAAGATGTTCAGTTCACAAAAATACACACTCAGGTAAAAAGTCAAGGTCAAAGGTCAAGGCCATAAGGTTAAAAGGTCCAGGTCAAATTTTGCATCTTTTCACTGATGAACGTTTTGTTATGACATGATGAAGCAAAGTTGATCAGAATTAAACAAAGAGACACACTGAGGTAAAAGGTTGAGGTCATTAGGTTCAAAGGTCGAGGTCTATTTTTGCATTTTTTCACTGATGAACATTTTGTTATGACACTATGGAGCAATGTAGGTCAAAATTAAATAAGGAGTCAACTGAACAAAGGTCAAGGTCATTGGATCAAAGGTCAAGGTTAAATTTGTATCTTTCCACTGGTGAATATTTCTTTATGATGCTTTGATGCAATGTTGCTCAGAATTAAACAAGGAGTCAATTAATCAAAGGTCAAGGTCACTGGGTCAAAGGTCAAGGTCAAATTTTGTATATTTTCCCTGATGAACATTTTGTTATGACATTATGAAGCAAAGTTGGTCGGAATACCACAAAGAGTCAACTGACTTATGGTCAAGGTCACTAGATCAAAGGTCAAGGTCAAATTTAGTATCATTTCACTGATGAACATTTTGTTATAACACTATGGAGCAATGTTGGTCAGAATTAAACAAGGAGTCAGCTGATGAAAGGTCAAGGTTACTGGGACAATGTCAAGGTCAAATATTGTATCTTTTTACTGATGAACATTATTTTGATGTTATTACCATGTTGGTTCAGAACTTAACATTTTGTTATGATATTATGAAGCAAAGTTGGTTGGAATCAAAGAATAATTCAACTGACCAAAGATCAGGGTCACTGGGTTAAAGGTCAAGGTCATTTGGGTGCAAAGGTCAAAGACAAAGTGGATCTCTGACTTTGACCCTGGCTCTTGATGGAGAAGGTATTTTAAGTGAAATAAAACATATCAAAGCTAACAAATGAGTATTGCACCAGTATTTACATTTCTGATAGCCTAGCAAATATGGAGGTGGAAGGAAACAAGACTCGCATCATAGTACATGTTAAATGTATATTTTGCTTCCTTACGATTCTTTTTGAAGTCCAAATGTCAGACGTTAAGTTCAGCTATATGGGCAGATTGCTTCTTGATAATTATGGCGGATATATTGCCACAAGACGGGGCCCTTACCGACCTGTCAGTGTTCTAGTTGATGTTAATTAACTTTTTCACCCCTTTGTAACTTTGATAAACTCTACCATGCCATTGCTCGGTTTGGATGACTTTTGAAATAAGTTTTACCTTTCAAAGTGAAACCTGGATGTCAATCTTCCCATCAACATTGTGTAAAACTTGAACATGTCGGACAAAATCAGCCATTTTTATTCCATATTGTTATGGGCATATAATTATCTATGCAATAATACACATTTGTGAACAAAATATAAATTCTCGAGTCATAATATAGTTTAATTTTATGTCTATTTTGATCGTCTAAGCTTAAAGCTAGTCTCAAACAAATCGAAAACAAAATTGGCAAGGCGAGATAATTAAACCGGAAGTTTAGAATTTTCCCCACATTATAATTTTCTAGATTTTTAGCTCACATTGCCCTTAGGGTGCGGCATCAGTAACCAAAAGGCCTAGGGTGATGATATTTGGCCAGAAGCATGCTTGGATAAAGGGCTACCAAGTTTGTTAAAAAAAATGACCTTCATCAATGTTCAAGGTCACAGGGGTCAAATATGTTAAAATCTTTAAACAACTTCTTCTGAATAACCAAGAGGCCTAGGATGATGATATTTGGCCAGTAACATGCTTGGATGAAGGGCTTCTAAGTTTGTTCAAATAAATGACCTTGCCTTATATTCAAGGTCACAAAGGGCAAATATGTTTTAAACATTTAAACAACTTTTTCTGAATAACCAATAGGCCTAGGGTGATGATATTTGGTTAGTAGCATGCTGGGATGAAGGGCTATAAAATTTGTTCAAATAAATGACCTTGACTTATATTCTAGGTCACAGGATCAAATATGTTCTAAACCTTTAAACAACTTCTTCTGAATAACCAAGAGGCCTAGGATAATGCCAGTAATATGCTGGGATTAAGGACTACCAAGTTCAAATGAATGACCTTGACATATATATTTTAAGGTCACAGGGGTCAAATATGTTTAAAACCATTGAATGACTTCTTCTTAATAAGCAAAAGGCCAAGGTTGATGATATTTGGCCATTAACATGCTGGGATGAAGGACTACCAAGTGAATGACCTTCACCCATATTCAAGGTCACAGTGGTCAATATATGTTAAAATCTTTAAA